AAAGAATGCCCCCCCCCCCCCCCCCCCCTTTTGTTTTTATTACTTTACATGGGACTAAGTCTCAAACACAGTCTCACTTTGAAGAAAGGTATTCCATGTATGTTAAAAAAAAAAAAAAAGAGGTAAGAGGTGTCGTTTTCCTCCACCTGACAGCAGATGGGATCTGGGACACATGCTGTCACAGGAAAGGGCAGCAGCAATACATACACCCTGCGGGAGGACAGACCAATCGTCACATTTAGAGGTGACTGAAAAAACCCAGGAACTGTAGCATCTAGCTGGCTCCCTAGCCAGTTACTGCACATCTGAGTGCTGTACAAGTGTGCCAATTAAATGAAAAAAGTCAAGGGCCATAAGTGCATCAGCCCAGACCCAACATTTACATGTGAATTAAACAAAGCCGCAGGTTTTCATAAAATTCTACTAAATAAAGAATTACAAACCAGCAGCGTTTGCTCATCTATCTTTAGAATTTACCTGTTAGACCCCTGCAGGTGCTGCCAACACCTAGAGATGCAGATGAAAACACTGAATTAAATGCAACAATAATCACTAAAAATAAGTGCACGTTTAGAAGAGAGCGCATCCACTGCTACAGCCAGAACGGGTGGGTGTGAGGAGGGGAAAGGCAGACACACTCTCAGGGCAGATGGCCAACTACTGGTTGCAGTCTTGCTCCCCCACCAGTGTTATTTCCATAGCACTAGACATAAAGGGTGACTGACCAGTTACAACTCAACAGGAATGTTGGAGGACTCCACGGCTTGGAATTTTAAAAGCTAAAAGACCGGAGGGTCCTTTTAAAAAGAGCCTTTAATTCAATCCCAACTGTTTGGGCAAATGCACGAACTGCTGGGTGGGATTCCCTAGCCCCTATTTTGCAGGAGGAGACGGACACCACCGCAGCAGGCACCACTACTGGGCAGGAGAGCTGCAAAATCTCTTCCTGGGCAGATTATACGTACTAACCCATCTAAAGAAGAACAGACTAATTATAACCGCTCGATTCCTAGCAACAGAGCAGAGTTCTCCTTTCATTCAAGTTAAGGAAGCTTCTTTCTGTTTTGTTTTAAATAACCAAGGGCCGCCTTTCGCCAGCCTCCACGGTGTGGGCTCGTGCACGACCGCTGTGACAGTAACCCAGACACACAGAGGGTTTCAGTAGCGCCGAGGCAGGTCAAGCCCTTTCCACCAGATTAGGCTTGAATCCAACACTGCAGAGGCAACGCCAGCTTAAATTGCCACGTTTCAACTTAGCTTTGGTTGTTTCACGAATAACTAGCAGTGACAAACAATAACCATTTCGCAGTCAACGCCAGCTATGCCCAAGTAACTGGAGTACAACTTGTTTTACTTTTGCTACCTACTTTGGTGTAACTCAAGCTTTGAGAGCTGCAAAGAGCAGCTCCAGCTGTTCCCGTCCCCGGGCAGCACCCTGCTCATTTTGACTGAGCACTTACCCCATTCTAGCAGCACTTTTAAACAGCCCAAGAGGAAATAAATTGCATCCATATTTAAAAAAAAAAAAAAATATCTCTCTCTCTCTCTAAGCTGAGACCGAAGGAACCAAGAGTGTAATTTTTAAAAGTTCTCAGCCCACAAATCATCCTCCTTATTTCCTCATCTCCAGGCGTGCTGTCTCCCCTCCCCCAGCTACACGCTTGAACAAGCAAGTTCGCTGTTGCATATGTCGGGACAGGCTCCCTTTTCCAGCGCGGTACGGAGCAGCCTTGGCTCCCGTTCCACTTTTGCTCACAGGAAGGCAGAGCTTCAACCACACAAGTCAAAGTAGTGACTGGAGTCAGAGCTTGCTAAGCAGGGTGGGAAAAAATAAAGGCCTTATGTTAAAGCATACCCAAAGCTCATATAAGCAGGTTTCCTGGCGAAAATCTGTGTTCCAGAGGAAATGACGAGATGCAGCATAAATAAAACATATTAACACACCCAGTTAAACACGCCCCCACTACTCTCCACCTAAGTTACTTGGCTCTAAGTCAAAACTGCACATTAGCAGCAACAGCAACTGAAAGCAGCCGAATCATTAATCATTTTTCCACTCAAAAGTTTCCAATCCAGAAGATGAACATCAAACACAGGGCTCAGAATTAAGCCCTGCTATCCCCTAATGAGGAATAATGCCTAGCACAACTTATGCAGGTTTTAAATAAGCATAGGTATTTGCAAAAACTGCACCTTCTTAAATGCAGAGATTTGCCATTTAGCAAGGGGGGGGGAATAGTCCAGAAAACTATAATGTTGTCATGTCAACAACATCCCAGATGCACAGAGGACACTGTAATGCAGTGGTTAGCAAAAAGCCACAGTACATAAATAGCAGAAAGTTTGCATTAACCCGTAAACGGTGATTTTATTTTATTTTTTTTTCTGAGAAGAGTCACCAAGACCGAGACCTGCAAAGAGGAACCCAATGTTCTTAGGAGCAAAACTCATCCAACTCCTCTCTTGCTGGGAAACTAAAGAACAAGACGACAACACAAGCATCGTTAGTGGATGAAGCCATCCAAGAGCCTCAATTAGACTGAGGGGGAAATGGCACAACAGTTCAGCGCTAATTGGAAATGCAAACATTTATCATCAGAGTAGCGCTCGCTTCTGTGCATAGTTCCATTGTGTTCACTGCAGCTAATGACAGTCGGAAGCCCTGTGCTCCATAGTATTTATGTAATGACTGGCAAAGCTGTCACATTCCCTTAATTGCTCGCCAGGATTTTCATACTGGCAGTAGTTTTCAATTAAAGGAAATCACAAAGATTGCTTCAGTTTCACATTGCTTCGTTTAAGTTTTGGTTCTTCTTCAAAACTGGGGAAAGAGGAAGAACGAAAAATTCTCCCAAGACAGAATGAGCTCTGCATCAAACGAGCTTTTTGTAGACAAACTGAATTAAGAGACCAGGAGAGCATGGTCACATACCCAGAACTGAAGGAGCTAATTTAGCATCACTAAAGACAAACAATTTGAGATCTGCACATAAATCTGCTTGAAGTTTGCAATGATTACTCCTTCAATCATGAGATATGTAATGTTCTAAAAGCAGTTCGTTTAAAAGGCAAAATGAAAAAGCCTAAGGTATCTTAGGGTTTCTACCTAATGGAGCTCTCACAGCAGAGCCTCCTTTGCTGGTAGAGCATCAGCTCTGTGTTTATAATTATACACCATCTAGCAAAATGCTGTACGTACCTAGTTCATCATCCCAGTATGCAGATGTAAGCATAAGGAGCATCCTGTGGCAAGGTCTCGCATTCCTAAACTTCCTTGCTTGTACCAAATGGACTGCAGAGCATCCACTGGTCTGTTAAGAGCCATCACCATTTAATTTGATGAGTAGCAGTTTGTTTTTAGGTGGTACCATCAGACCTTTTATCACATCATTTACTCGGATCCCAATCATACTTACTGTATGTCAGTAGAGAAAAGAAAGCTCTATAGGAGTGGTACAAAGGATCTGCTGTTTCTGCAATATATTATGACGTAACTCTGCAGTATTGCTCAGTTAAATAAAGCCCATGAGCCAAGTGAACTATTTTTACTCCATTGAATAAAAGGAAATATAAGAACATCACTTGTTACAGTAGCAGGCCCATTTTAAGGCACTATGTAATTAGGAGTAGGAGTTAATAACAGGACCAGAAATAGTAGGCAAGGTTTCCCTCAACATCTTTGTGCAAGTCTTTCTGGGGCATGGATCATCTTATCCTGTGTTCTTGCTACAATTACCCAAGCAGCTTTAAGTAGGACACATGGATCTTCACTGCTACCTATTTAAACCTCATCCCTTCTCATGAAGCAGCAACAGCGGCTGCAGCCACAAAACCCAATGCAGCGGAGACTGATCGAGCTCCTGTACGCAGCCCTGTCAGCATCTGCAGCAAGCAACTTGCTTCTCTCAATCCAATTCCCAGCAGACGAGCATCCACATCCCAAAATTAGCAACAATACAAACTGCAAATTCAGCAGAATTTGGATTTCACTGATGGATGGACTGCCAGTATACATGTTTTATTCATCTCAAGACTGCTTTGTCAAGTTGGTTGCATTTCCCTTCTGTACTTAAAATGCTAAAAATCATTTTATGGTCACTACTGAGCAGCCAAGGAGATCTATAGACGGTGTTGTCCCTTTTCTAACCTCTAGCCAAAATTCACCAGATTTCCAAAATGAAGACAACAACCAAAGACTGATGTCCTAAAAAGCCATATGCGTCAAGACATTTTGCTCGGTATAGTATTCCCTCCCATCGCTGTATGTCACCTTGCTGAAGTCCCACAGCTGCTTCCTGCTAAGGTCATCAGCATCTGAATTAGCCTCCCTATGAGAGCACAGCATGCAGCAGATCAAGACGCAGAGTTTTCTGATCATCCTTCCTTAATTCCAATAATGAAGATTCAAGGACATTCACTATCAGCACATTGTCATAAAGGTTCCTGCTACCTACCCATAACCCTAAAGCTTCCTCAGTGTTCAGGCACTCAAACCAAATCTCATTTCAGCATCCACCCCAGGTTACCTGCCCACAGTCCCTCTCCTATTGTAAATCCAAGGCAAGAGTGTAAAATGAGATATTTTAAATTCCATAGCTAGCACACTACAATTTCACCTCTCACCTTTACAGTAACAGCTCTGTTTGCTATAAAACCCTGATACGAACCGGGCAGTCAGTTTTGGAAACAGCTATTTCACAGCCCACAAGAACTCTCGGCGATGGTCCCTGAGCGTACCTAGGAGGAACGCATGGGGCTGCACTTCCCAAACCAATTTTACCCCATCCACTTTGTGGCATTTACACCCTGCTTCACGTAAGCGCTGCCTCCCTCTTTACTGAGGCTCACATTCGTACACCCGCTGTGGCACAACCTGCACTAACTCTCCCTTTCCTGCTCTTACACTTCTCGCAGAGGGATGCGGTGAAGTGAAATACACTGGCTGCGGGAAAGGAGACCCCGCAAAGCGATGCAGAGGAGAGCAAGACCAATGGCTTCAGTAACCCCTCTCTGCAAGTATGAGGTTGCTTCTTCCACTCTGTCTTTCCAGTCGCTTCCTTTGAGCTGAGTTTTCCCCCATTCCTGGTTATTCTTGTACTGCTGGTATTTGCAGGTGCTGATTCACAGCCTCCTAAGATACACACGTTTCGCTGCTTTTATTTTTAAGAAGAGTCACTTCAGGCTCGAAATAACTGTTGTTTTTCTGTGAACACTCTTCAATGCATATCTAGTTTTATCTGAGGAGCTTAAATATTCTACTTCATCTAAAGCCTCAAAGTTTTATCAGTCTCTGTTGCTCTATTAAAATATTATAAAACAGACTGCAAAATTTGTGGCTTGCCATTGTGCCAAGTCCCTTTTAGCTTTAAAAATAGAAGTTGGATTTGAGTGTAATATATATTCTTTAAACTTCTAACAGGGTTTGAATTTACATCTCCTATAGGTGAGACTTCCCCTGAGGGTTTCAATCCTTGATAAAATTAAAAATCTGCCAAAACCTAATGCTTTCGTTCTGACAAAGCTGAACCGAGATATCTCAAATGGAAGTGGTCAAATCCCAAATCACGACTTTTTGAAATGAGCTCTCAAAAAGCAGCCCTGAGCAAGTCAGCACACAAGTCTGTCATTTTAATATCTTATGTTATCAGCAGATGGCTTCTATCTTAGATCTGAGATGATGTTGTGTTTCCAGCCTCTGCTCCGCTGGCTCCTAACCTTCTCTCCCCCACAGAGCATCTGTATTCTGGATATTTCCTTGGAGATTCATTAACTGCTCCTTCCTCAAAGGTTGAGATTATTGGCATTTTTCTCAGACTACATTTCTAAGTGTTTGAAAGACCTGTCAGGACAGAGAAATAAATAAATACAGAAACGTATCAATTCATCATTCTCTCTGTCAAGACATCGCAGGTAAAGAGAAGACCTAAGTTTTGGCTAATGTCT